GAAAAACGCGAGGAAATACGCGCCGGGTGCCACGGAGGACCACGGGCAGTATATCTTTTGGGGCGCCGGCGGCGAAGGCGCAGTGCAGGGAATGACTGAGTTGACGGAGTGCAAGCGCGTGGAGGAACAGGACGATTGGTTCCTTGGAGTTCAGGACGAGTTCCGCCGAGGCAACTTGTCTGAACGCACGCGCATTTTTTTGCATGGCAGACCGACGGATGTGCCGGGGTCGTGGGTGAACGGCGCACCGCTGTGCGGGAACGCACGTTGTCTCGAAGACAAAGAGGCCATTGCGAAGGAGAACGAGCTAGAATGTGAGGCGTGCAAAGTGGAGCGTCAGAAGAGGAAGCTCGTCGCAACGTCGCCAGAAGACGCGCGGTTTCGGGGGGGGAAATTCTTGGAGGCGGTCGCTATTTATGCGAATCAGGACATTCGTTGCCACGTCGGGAAGCAGAGAGCCGTGCAGTGGGCCAAGGAGCGAGGAGAACAGCTGCTGTGGGTCGCAGCGAGGGACCGCGCTTGCCATGGAGGGGAACAGAGGCGGCCGTACACGGTGGAGGATAAGGTACGTTGGCTGGGGTACCACGAGAAGGAGTGCGCAAGCTTGCCTGGGTGGCTGCCGCTGGCGAAGGGGATGCCCGTGGCTCTGGGGGACCACTTGGATCGGTCAAAGAAACAGCTGCTGCGGGGGCGCACAGCGACGATCCATGGATGGGTGCTGCACGAGGACGAGGTCCTGGGAGATGAGGAGGAGGAAGTGTTGTTGCATCTTCCGAGGATGATTGTGTTGGATTTCCATGCGACGGAGTGGCGCCTGCCAGGGTGGGAGCCGGGGCTGTATCCGATATTCCCATCGAATCGGCGTCAATGGTTCTTGGACGGATACCGAAAGCATCCTGTGTTGAGTGTGAAGCGCATTCAATTTATGATAACCCCGGCTTTGGCGGTAACGGCGCATTCTGCCCAGGGACGGACCATGGCAGCCGTGATAGCTGACCTCGAAAGAGGGCGCGGCGTGAGTTGGATGTCGAGTTACGTTGCCATCACGCGCGTGCGCAGACGAGAGAACCTGCTGATATTCCGGCCGTTTGACAGGAGACCGTACAACGCAGGCGAGATGGCGGGCACGAAAAAATTGTTGCAGGTGCTGCGAGGGGAGAGCGCGAATTGGGATGAGTGGGAGGCGGAGTTGATGCCAAGAGACCAGTGCGAGCGCTGCCGGCGGAGGTTGCTGGTAGAGGCGTTCTCGAAGTACGAGTTCCAGAGGAAGGAAAGGCCAGCGTTCTGCAAAGAGTGCGCGGAAGAGATGAAGGACGCTGACGAGAAATGGTGCACCACGTGTAGAGGGTGGGCAACGAGAGCAGAGGCTGACGAAGCGCCGCGGCACGGTGACGATCGGAGTGGGGATGCAGCGCCGGACGGCGGGGGGACAAAAAGGATTCGGACAATGTATTGCGCGAAGTGCAGCCATGTGAAAGCGAAGCAGAAGTCGCGGAGCGGCAACGCGAAGTGGAACGAGAGCGTCGGCACCGTGCGATGTTCCAACGATGCGTGCCTGTCGCTGTATGACGGGAAGGGGGAGATGTCGGAAGCTCAGAAGAAGCACAACGCTGCGGGGGAAAGGCTGTGTCGGAAATGCGCGGCAGAACGAGAGAAGGAGGTGCGACGGGGGAATGCTGAGGCAGCGAATCGCAAACGCAAAGCCGAGGCCGACGCGAAGTCGCTGACCTGCGCGGCGTGCGGAGGAGCGTTCTCAGACACGAAACATTTGAAGCCGGGGCAAGTGGAGGATCATCGAAAGGCGAAAGGAGCCAAAGTGGTGTGCGGAGGCTGCAAGGACCTCGGGTTCACAGCACGCAGTTGCCAGGCGTATCAGTGCAGTGGCAAGTGCCAGAGGAAATTGCCAAAGTCGGCTTTCTCCGTCAAGGCGGGCGATGTCGCGCGTGCCGAGAAGAGGGGCACCCTGAAGTGCAACGCATGCAAATGATACCATTTGGGCACCTGTGCCATGGCCAGTAGAAGTGGGAGCAGCGCGGATCCGAACGAGAGGGAGGATCCCAAAAGCCCGATGAAAAGAGGAACGCAAAGAGAGTGAAAGCGGAGGAGGATGAGGACGGGGAGGATGAGGATGAGGAGCATAGGATGAAAAGGCGCGGAGGACGGGGAGGATGGAGAGGAAGGGGAGGGTGAAGAGGAGGATAAGGGAGCGAATGAAGCCGACGAAAGCGACGCCTACAACGACAACGATAGAGGATTCATGGATGTTCGTTGGGATCTCGCGTTGGCCTTTCGGGGGCCTCCTGGAAGCAGGTTTGAGGATTCGTGGGAGCCGCGTTGGGGCTTCATTTGGGCCTCTTGGTGGCTTCATGGGCTTCTTGGGGGGCCTCCTGGATGGCCCTTGGGGCGTCGTGGGGGGCCGCTTCGGGCTCTGGGTGCATCTTGGGGCCTCCTGGGGCCTGTTGGGGCCCCCTCTTTGCCCTTCATGGGGCCCTCGTGGGCCGTCTTGGGCGCCCCTTGGGCCGTCTTCGGGCCGTCATGTGCCGTCTCGGGGCCCTCTTGGAGACCTCTTTGGTCCGTCTTGTGGTGGTGTTGGGAGCCTCCTGGGCCGTCGTGGAGCGTCGGAGAGCAGAAAAGACGAGAAGGCTAAAATGTACGTTTTACGACGGGAATGGGGCCATTTTTGGGTGTGGGAACCCTGTTGGGGCGATTCTTGGGGGTCTCTTGGGCAGTCTTGGGGCCATCTTGGGCGTGTTCGAACGCTGGTTTGGCTACTCGGGGCCTTCTTGACCGTCTCGGGGGCCCCTTGGTGCGCTCTTGGTTCGTTTTCGGGCCCTTTGCTCCCCCCGGCGGCGTTCGAGCCGGGGTCAACCGGAGCCCGGATGACCCCGGCTCGAACGCCTCTGGGCTACCTTGGGGCTGTATTGGAGGCCTCCAGGGCCGTCTGGGAGCGTCCGTCGGAAAGCCCCAAAGGCAAATTTGTGAAAAATGTACGTTTCACGAAGGGAACGGGCCAATTTTTGCGCCGAGGGGCCCTCCTGGGGGTCTCTTGGGCAGTCTTGGGACCATCTTGGGCGTGTTCGAACGCTGGTTTGGCTACTCGGGGCCTTCTTGACCGTCTCGGGGGCCCCTTGGTGCGCTCTTGGTTCGTTTTCGGGCCCTTTGCTCCCCCCGGCGGCGTTCGAGCCGGGATCCACCGGAGCCCGGATGACCCCGGCTCGAACGCCTCTGGGCTACCTTGGGGCTGTATTGGAGGCCTCCAGGGCCGTCTGGGAGCGTCGGAAAGCCCAAAAGGCAAATTTGTGAAAAATGTACGTTTCACGAAGGGAACGGGCCAATTTTTGCGCCGAGGGGCCCTCCTGGGACGCATCTTGGAGGCCTCTTGGGGCCTCTTGGGGCCGTCTTGGGCCGTCTGGAGGCGATCGTCGGTGTCTTTGATCGCTCTTCGACCGTCTGTGACCATATTGAGCTCTCTTGGAGGCCACTTGAAGCGCTCCTGGAGCGCTCTTGGGGCCGTCTTCGGGGCCCTCTTGGGCAATCTTGGGCGCCTCTTGGGCTGTCTTGGGGCTCTCTTGGGCTGCCTTGGAGCTTCCCTGGAGGCTGCTTGGACCGTCTTGGGGCGGTATTTAGGGCCTCTTGGGCCGTCTGGGAGCGTCGGAAAGCCCAAAAAGCGAATTCGTGAAAAATGTACGTTTTACGAAGGGAATGGGCCAATTTTTGCGTCTAGGGACCCTCGTGGGACGCATCTTGGAGGCCTCTTGGGGCCTCTTGGGGACCTCTTGGGCCGTCTTGGAGGCCTCTTAGCCCGTCTTTGAGCCATCTTGGGCGTCTTGGAGCGCTCGTTTGGCGTCTCGGGGCTCCCGTGGGCCGTCTTGAAGGCCTCTTGGGGCCATCTTGGCCCGTCTTGAGGCTTCCTGGGGCCCGGAAAAGCCCCGGCGGCGCTCGTCCCGGGCCCCGGCGGCGCTCGTCCCGGGCCCGGGGGGGGGGTCAAATCGCCGGTTTGGGGTCCCGGGGGGGGGACTATAGGGGGGGGAACTATCTCACACGCCTAGAGACCCACAAGGGGTCGGCGGATTGCATCACACAGCTTGCACAGCGTACAATGCACCACATCTATTGCACATTGCCCCACGTAGGTTGCAGCATATAGTTTCCACGACTTCGCGCCTGCGGCTCGCTTTGTTGATCGCTCACAACACAGATTGCACTGCAGATGTCCACATCTATTGCACATTGCCCCACGTAGGTTGCAGCACATAGTTTGCACGACTTCGCGCCTGCGGCTCGCTTTGTTGATCGCTCACAACACAGATTGCACTGCAGATGTTGCGCGACATAGATTGCACCACATATATTGCACAGCATACAGTGCACACCATATACTGTACCATATGTCGTGCACTACATACATATGCACAGCACTGATACCACCACGAAGGTTGCACAACACATATTGCACAACATCGATTGCTAGAAGCACACTGTCTGGGGACCACGCTGGCCAGCACTCATCGTTCCGGAGCCATGCGAGCATGTCTGGGCAGTTTCCTCTCTCTTCTGCAAAGGGGGCGCCCCCTGTGCCAGGGTCGGCTCCGCATCGGCTATCCGCAGGGGCGGCGGCGCACACCTCGGGCCCCGCAGCGCCCTCTCCCGCCGCGGGGCTCCACCGAGAGCCCCACTCCCCGCGGCCTCGCCTTCGCGCGCGGCGCCATGGCGTCCTTCGAGCAGAAGGTGGAGGCGCTGCGGCGGCTGCGCGAGCGCCGCCTGGCGAAGCCCGACGCCGCGGAGGCCGCTCGCGCGGGCGCCGCCGCTGCGGAGCGCGGGCGCGGCGGCGACGCTGCCGCGGGCGCTGGCGCGGCGGAGGGCGCTGCGCCGGAGGGCGCTGCGCCGCAGGGCGGCCCCGCGCCGCTGCCTGCCGCGGGCGGGGCCGCCTCGCCGCCGCGCAGCGGCGACGGCGGCGACTCCACCGCGGGCGCTGCCGCGCCAGAGGGCGCTGCGCCGGAGGGCGGCCCGGCGCCGCTGTCTGCCGCGGGCGGGGCCGCCTCGCCACAGGGCGGCGGGCTGAGCTCCGCCGCCGCGGCGGACGAGTGCTTCTGCGCTGGCCACGAGCACCGCTTCAAACTTGCCGTCAAGCCGCTGAGGAAGGACGAGCACTTTTCCCAGGGATGCCCTTGCATCCTTGCCTCCTCGGTCCATCCTTGGGCACGTTCGTTGGCCGCGCCCCGCGCGAAAAGCTTCGAGACGGCCTTCCAAGGCCCTTGCATCCTTATCGTGCGTTCCCATGTTGCGGGTCGACTGCATCCCCATCCCTGCGGGGCCATGGCGTTGCAGACCCATCTTCCTACCACCCCAGCGGGGGATCGGCCCCTCAGAACCCGAAGGGAACAGCCTATGCATCCCCACCTCGAGGGGGGTAGAGCGGCCAGTGGGGCCCAGGCCACGCCCGTGGGTATAGAGATCAGCTACACGCAGACCTCCGACGTCATGATTTCTTCATGACGTCGACCCCAAGAAGTCTCGACCCATTCCCCCGACCGGTTCCTCATCCTGAGTCGTTTTTTCACCGTTCCGAGGCCCGGCGAGGGCCCCCAGGTTCCGAAAACGGCGAAACAAATCTTGTCCTGATTTTTTCATGGCTCGAGGGGGTCTGGGCCGCGGGGACGAGGAGGAGGAGGAGGAGGAGGAGAAGGAGGAGGAGGGAGAGGAGGAGGAGGGGAGGAGGAGAGGAGGGGGAGGAGGAGGGAGGAGGAGGAGGAGGAGGAGGAGGAGGAGGAGGGGGAGGAGGAGGAGGGAGGAGGAGGAGGGGAGGAGGAGGAGGAGGAGGTGGGAAGGAAAGGTGGAGGAGGAGGAGGAGGTAGGAGGAGGATGGAGGAGGAGGGAGGAGGAGGGTAGGGATCGGCTCACTGAAGCCCAGGCCACCTGTGCGAGCACGGTCTGGAGGGGCACGCCGTGGACCTCCCCGCGGCGGCGGAGTTCTACCAGCTCGCCGCCGAGGCCGGCCACGCCGCGGCGCAGTGGCGGCTCGGCGAGCTGCTGGAGTACGGCCGAGGCGTGGGGCCAGACGAGGCCCCAAGACATCTCGTCCAGTTTTCCCGCCCTTCTTCGTCGTCGTCCCCTCTCCTCCTCCCTCCCTCCTCCTCCTTCCTCCTCCTCCTCCTCCTCCTCCTCCTCCTCCTCCTCCTCTCCTCCTCTCCTCCTCCCCTCCGCCTCCTCTTTCCCCCTCATCGTCGTCCTCCTCGTCGTCCTCCTCCTCCTCCTCCTCCTCCTCCTCCTCCTCCTCCTCCTACTATTGCCCTGCTGAGCAGGCGCAATGATAGTGAAAGCTTTTTGAATCCGACGAGGCCCCCAAACGTCACTGCCCAGACCTCTTCGAGTAACGAAACAATCATGATGGGAGATTTTTCACCATGTTCTTCCTCTGGGGGACCTCGCAGGGCCTCGGGACCGTCAAAAAACGACTCAGGATGAAAAACCAGTCCTGGGACAGGGGTCCAGATTTCTGGGGGTCGACGTCATGAAAGAAATCATGACGTCGGGGGTCTGGGCTTGACCTGTTCCCACACGGGGTCCCTGGAAGTCCCGGCCCTCTCTCTACCCAGGGGCTGGCTTTTCATCGCGAGTCGTTTCTATGCTTCGGCGTTCGTACCTGCGGCCGGACGGTGATTTCTCCATCGCTGGGGCCTCCGGAACGGGACGATTTCTCCGGCGATGATTTCGGCAGCGCGATGATGTATTCTGTTGTCAGTGTGTGGCCCCCTGATGCCCCGACGCTTTCTCCCCTTGGGCCGCTTTTTCACAGCGATTCGTTGTTCGACGGCCCTGGCTCCCGGGGAGGGCCCCTGGAGGCCGAAAACGGCCCAAGAATCTCCCTTGGCGGCACGAACAAGGGGGGAAGGCCTCTTAGAAGGAGGCCGCTTCTTCGAAGGCGCCAGCCCTACATCTGTAGACAAGGTTCGCGCCTTCTAAGAAGCAGGGGTGCTTCTAAGAAGCCTTCCCCTCTCCTCCTACCCCCTTGTGCGCGCCGCCAACTCCCGTCGTAAGTTTTGCTCGCGACGCGAGCGCGTCGCAGGCGCTGGCGGCGAACTGGTACCGCCTGTCTGCCCGGGCGGGCAACGCGCAGGCGCAGTCCGCCCTGGCGCTGCTGCTGGAGGAGGGCCGGGGCTGCGCTCGCGACGACGCCGAGGCGGCGCGGTGGCACCTGGCGGCTGCGGAGCTGCAGGGGGCGCCAGCAGGGGGGGGGACTGCCCAGGCCCCCTCCCAGACGCGCGGGCGTCCCCGGGAGATCCTGGCGGCACCGTTGCTTGATGGCAGCGGGCGTTGTCGCCGGATTTCGGGCCGCGGGGCCCGTACAGGTCGATCCAGCGGGGTCTGGGGTCGAGTCGGGCCTGTGAGCCGCCCGAGCCGAGCCGAAGGGAGTGGCCAGGCGGAGGCGCATTGGCGCAGCATGGCCAGGGGTGGCCTATGAGCGCACTGAAAGAAGAGAGCACGAGGCCACGCAGGGGGCATGGGGGGGAGCGCCCCCTCCTCCTCCCCCGCCTCCTCGCTCCTCCTCCTCCTCCTCCTCCTCCTCCTCCTCCTCCTCCTCCTCCTCCTCTCCTCCTCGCCTCCTCCTCCGCCTCCGCCTCCGCCTCCTCCTCCTCCTCCTCCTCCTCCTCCTCCTCCTCCTCCTCCTCCTCCTCCTCCTCCTCCTCCCCCTCCTTAACTTCCCAACCTCGCTCAAGAGCTTGGCAAGGAGTGCCTGCGCGCTGGCCCGCCTCCCGCTGAGCCTTCTGCATCTGGCGGCGCCCATGTCGGGCCGCTACCTCGTGTGCAGCAACTGTGGTCCAGGCAGCTAGATCTATAAAACCCCCCCCCGCAAGAGGTGCCGCGATTGCGGATCCTATTTCCCTGGGCGGCATGGGAGTGGACAGTGGACAAAAGGGAGGAAGAGGTGGATCTGAGTCTGGGCGGGGACGGGGCAAAGGCCCGGATAGGCATGATCAGGATGACAGGTGTCCTCCTGCTGGCCAGCAGGATGAAAAGGTCATCGCGGAGGATGTCGAGGACATGCGTCTCCTCGACAGCCTCATTGCGGCCCGCCAGGACTATCTCACCTCCCTCGAGAGCGTGGTCAAGAAGGAGGTCCCCGTGGAGGAGGAAGTCTGCCGCATCAAGCACGACCAGTCCGCCAATCGCGAAAAGCGGAACGACCTCCTCACGCTACCCCAGCAGCATGAGCGACGATGCAAACGTGTCGGATGGACTACGGCAAAGATCAACAAAGTGGATTATGTTTTGGATGATGCGCATGATCAGATTCCCCGTCTGGAGTCTAAGAGGCTGCACCTGTTTGAGCGCAAACATATGCTGGAGCAGCAGTTGGAGGATTGCGAGAAGCAAAAGCAGGAGGTGGAGGGTAGGCTGCCCCCCCCCACCTGCAGCTCCCGAGCCCTCTCCTCTGGCCACTGTGCTTGGCCTCGGCCCCGGGGCCACGGAGGTGCCCGCCGTTGCCTTTGCGCTAGAGGCCCTCCAGACCGCCCTGGGTGCCCTCCACGCTCGCGGGCTCGCGCCTGCCCCGCCTGATCGCACGGCCCCTGGAGGCCCCGAGGCTCCCGCCGCTGCTGAGGGCCACACTGGCCCTGGAGCACGCGGGAAGGGCCATGCCAGAGCCCGCCAGATCGAGTCCCGGGGGTCTACGAGTGGAACTGCGTCAGGGGTGGGGTCCCAGCCTCGCCCTCAGCGACCCCGCAAGGGGGATGATGATGATAGCACGCGCGAGGGCGACGTTGTTGTCAACTCTGACGATAACCGCAACGATGATTTCGCTGATGGTTTGCGTGCTATGCCTGCTAAGCTGCAGCGTACCAAATACGGATGGGCTGATAGCGTCGATGGTGATTACGATTGGCGCTATGACTATGGCTTGGAAGGGGATTATCATAACCCGCCCGAGGCTCCTGAAGAATCTGCCCCAGCCTGTGGGTAGCAAACGTGGTGCCACTACTATACCCAGTACCTCTACTAGCACAGCCACCAAGAAGGCCAGAAGATCTCGCAGGAGCCGGGGGGCTCGAACGTGGACAATCTGCACGGTGAATGTCGTTTCCTGGGCAGCCGCCGCAGAGTTTCTTGCGTCTCGACCCCCGTTCGACGGGATCAGTTCCCAGGAGCTGCTTCGTTCCGATGAGTATGTTCCTAACGTTGTGGCCGCTGCTAATGCGGCGCTCGGCTCTCATGCGCTCGTGAACGCCTCTGTGATTACAGAGGCCGTTGGAGTGTCAGCAGGTGTTGCTATCACGCCTCCATGGGCCACGGGTCTTCAGCGGATGGATCTACATAATCTCCCTGCGCCGCCGCCTGAACGATTTCTTGTTTCTCAGTGGTTTGGAATATATAGCGCCGGTTTTAAGACATGCTCCGCGTGCGGATCACGTACTAAACATGCAGGGATTTTGTATTAAAAACAACGATGAATTCATACATAAATGTATTCAACAATTCATCATGTGATAAAATTCTATATGCTTAAAAATCCGATGTCTTAAACACTCCCCTGTAACCTGGGGGTGTTCCGTGGATCGCGCTGTATTTGCATTTTGGTGAGGGCGCGTCTGAACGCAATGTACACATGTTGATGCAAGTAGCTGCTATCATCCAGGCCATTGGCAGGCCGTTCATAATATCAGGAGATTGGAATATGAGTCCGACGCAGTTGGCTGATCTGAATTTGCTGCCTCTCGCACGCGGTGTCTTGGCTGTTCCGCCTGGTATCGCGTATCACTCTGGGGACGCATCTTTTTTGTTGGATTACTTTGTCATCATGAAGTGTTTGCAGGAGAGTTTACGGTTTCACTGTGCCCCGCCCTCCTGGTCACCAAGCACACTCCAGTTAGGCTGGCGTTCAAGGCGACCCTCCTGCAGAAACATGTGCAATCTGTCGCGCGCACCGGACGCTTACCTGTGGATCGGCCGATGGGATGTGCCCCGCGCCCCCCTCCCTGGGAAGAGCTCCAGGACCGCCTTGAAGGCCATCCAGCAGCAGACGTGATGAATGATGTCATGATTTGTTTTCTCCGTTTTTCTGCCCGTGAGCTTTCTGGCATATTGCGGCAAGAGGTCGATGAAATCAAGTGGGGACGGCAATTTCGTTCACGATGGATCCCGGCATCGAAGATGTGTTCAAGTTCGCCGCGCTGCTGTTTTGAGGGCCATTTGTGGCGATGCTTGTCGCAAAGGTTATTGCAAGTAGTTTTGCTTCGCAGCCAGGGCCGGCTCCGCGATGCGCATGATGTCTCGCGTCGTCTGCAACGGCATTGGCCGAATCCTCGCGAGGGCCGCCCGCTTTCGCTGTAGCCGTGGTGGCGCCGAATCGTCAAGTCACCGAATGGTTTGACGGCTCCGGATTCGAAATTGCGGCGCAGTTGGACATCATCGCCACGCAATTTGAGCTGAGCGCTGCAAAGTCCCGGTCCGATTCCTGGTCCACGTGGGCGGTGAACGCTGTCAGCATGCCAGGTTCCTCGCTAGCGCGCGCATGCGAACGTGGCCCTGTCACGTGGACACATGTCCAAGTGGATCCCAGCCTGGACATGAAACGTCCGCAGGGCAGTCCACAACATCATGTGGAGTGCCGTGAGAAGTATTGGCATAATACCTGGGGGGGTTCTTCAGAGTATGTGCATCCTGCTTGGCCCCCTCTGGATATGCTTTTCTTGGAGTCGTTGCGCTTCCCTACGCCTGCTGAGTTTCGTCGCGTGGCCTTGAAATACAAGAAGTGCACGTCTGTCGGTGTAGACCACCTGCACCCGCGGCATAATGGATTTCTCTCTAACGAGGCGCTCTGATCTCGCTTTGGAGGTGGATGTTGACTTTTTTTGGGGGGGGTCCTCCTGAATTGGTATATGCCATGATCGCGAGCCTGCTCCCTACACCTAAGGTCGGGGATTGCCCTGATCGCCCAGTTGCCAATTTCGCCACATGCATTCGGCTTCGTACGCGGTGGTTCCGTTCTACCTATGCAAAGCGGTGGTCCGATTCTGATCGCAGGCCGTACGTGTATGGCATTACGGGCGTCTCGAGCTTGCACTGCGTCTGGAAACATCCCCTTCTAGCTGAATAGTCTGCCTCGAAGGGCCTTGAGGCATATGCAATATTACTTGATGTTGCCAAGGCATGTGAACATATTCTCCACCACATTCTGGTTCGTCGTGCCTTGGATCTTGAATTCAATGAGTTTCTGCTCAAGTTCATGCTTGCTTTGTGCCGCGGTCCGCGTGTCATCGTTGTGGGATCCGTTCCAGCAGAACTCGTTCACGCTACACAAACCATCGTGGTTGGTTGTGCAGTCGCAGATATTCTGATGCGGTGCGTGCTCATCGATCATGTTGCTGAACTTCATCGCTATGTGCATCTGGGTCTAGTGGCTGATGATGTCCAGGCCCTGGGTATAGGGACGAAGAGGTTTTGCCGTGAAACCGCCTCCCTAGTAGCGAACGCGCTGCTAGGCCGGCTTCGAGACCATGCCCACCTCCCCCTGTCCATCCCGAAACTCGTTTTCACGGCCTCTGATGATGAGGTCGGGGATGCGTTGGCTTCGACCTCCAGCTAGCGCGGGCTCGCCGACGTGAAACTCGAAATCTTGGGGTGGACTTCGCTGCGAGAGCTGGCCGCGGCTCCGAGAGAAGCGTCATAAAATCTAGACTCAAGAGGGCCCGTGCTCGCGCGGGTCGGGTTCGCAATTTGGCCAGAGGGATAGGAGGGGACAAATCGTGCCCCCCCCCGTTTTCTTGGCAGACTCGTGAATTCTGGTCTGAGCCCTGCTGCCCTCTGGAACTTCCATCACTGGCCTCAGTGACTCTCAATTCCGGGACGTCCGGGCCATTTTTCACACCGCTTTAGGTTCTCGGCCCTGCAGGTCAGTTACTATGGACATGGCCCTCACGTATAACGCGCGTGATCCCGTGGTCACCGTGCACCACGACACCATCCTCATGTGGCTGTCTTGTCGCTGGGATTCGATTGTGCCGCGTGCCATTATGGGTCACACAATGCAGCACGCTATTGATACAGTTTCTCGGACTACTCCATGGAGTTCATTGTCTGGTCCTGCGGCAGTAGTGGTTGCATCGTTGCTCCGAGTCGGCTGGTCGTGCACGTCCCCGACTGAGTGGGTAACTCCCACTTGCGACCGCCTTATAGTCACGGAGTGTGTTCCCCGTGATGTTGCACGCTTGATTTCACATTCTGCGTTGCAGTGGTCTTGGTCCCAGGCCTCTCAACGACACGTGCGCATGTCTCATCTTGACCACCCTCCCTTCCTGAGCCCCATCGTTCGTCTTCTTGCCGAGGACGGCATCGAGGATTTTGGCACGCGGCAGACGGCGGCGCTCCAAGCTTTGCTGGCGGGAGCTTTGTTTCACCAAGGGCCGTGCCCCCTTTGTTCTGTATCTTGCCCCTCTCTCTGGAAGCACTTATGTTTCGAGTGTGACGGGA